TTCTTTGATACAGTTAGATCTGAACAGCCGCATCACTTACATGCAATACTAATGAATAAGTTAGAGCTTACTCTGCAATCACCAATGATTTTTATGGATTTGAAGTCAGTCTCTTAAAGCATACTAAAATCCACAAATAAAAATATGTTTGGGATTTTCTTATTAGAAAAAGCTAAAAATGTTTGAGATTATGAAACCATACAGTAACCTTTGTAATGCAAATCTAGATGAAGTTACTATTTCAGATAATAATGATTTCAGACAGAAGAGACCCAGATTGAGCTTCAGTAAGACAAAGTGCCGGGTCCTGTACTTTGGTGGCAACAACCCCATTCAGCTCTACAGAGTTGGGGCAGCGTGTGCAGGAAAAGCATCTGGGGGTATTAGTCAACAGTGGGCTGAACATGATCCAGCAGTTGCCCAGGTGGCCAAAAAGGCCAGTGACATTCTGGCTTGCATTAGAAATAGGCAGCTATCAAGACTGGGGATATCGTTTTTCCTTTGTACTTGGCACTGGTGAGGGCTCACCTCAAGTACTGCGTTCAGTTTTAGTCCACTTGCTACAACAAAGAGGTTAAGGCCCTGGAATCTGTCCAAAGAAGGGTAACAAAGCTGGTGAAGGGTCTGGAACACCAGCCTTATGGGTAGCAGCTGAAGGAACTGTGATTGTTTAGCCTGGAGGTAAGGAGGCTCTTAGTAAATCATCTACCTTCTTGCTCTCTACAACTAATTGAAAGGTCTGTTGGACTAGATTATAAAAGAGGCCTTTTCCAACCTTAACAATTCTATAATTCTATGCTCTATAATTTAGTGACATAGCTGGGGAAGGGTCCATAGGGTAGGCAAATACCATGCAACGTGATACAGGTAAATGTACATATCTTCATTTCACAGCCTCGTTGTTTCCTGCAGAAAAGAACATTTGGTCTAATTACAAAATTTGAGCAAGAGAAGGGGTCCATGAGATATATGGATATATAACTGACAGCACCATCAACTCAGTTGGATTGCCTGGTTAGTAAAAATGCTAAATCTTATTATTAAGGAGCAGATGAGAAGGTGATTTGGAAGAGAGAGAGGGGAAGAAAAAGATGTAAAGGAATTTCATTTTTACTTATTTATTTTGCGTATGTTCCGTTGGTATGTAAAAACAGATGCGAACCACAAAGCCTCCCCACAGACTCCTTGAGGAGGAAGATATACATAAAGAGCAGTCTGTGTGGCCATTAAAGTACAAACTGATTCAGAAAGAGGACTTAAAAAAATGTTTCAGTAAGCACATAATTCATCTCAAAAGTTGAGATGCATAAAACTGTCCTAGAGTAGTAGGGAATTAGTCTTTCTTGTATGATTAAATACAGCCAATGTTTGCAAATATAAGGAAATCACTGTATGACTGATCTAGAGCATGCAAAATTTGTCAGGAAAAATAGTACATTTCTTAGACAAAACTGATAAATTGGAGCATGGGGAGACAAGCTGGTAGGCTAAATTATAGTCTCAGACCATTGCAGACTACTGCACTATCACAATATTGTTGACATAAATAAGACTTTCCTTTTCATCCAAGAATCTCATTCACTTCTTTAGCACAAAATGATGTACGGTACTCAACATAAGTCTATGTAAACTCCAACTGCAGCTTGTCCTTCTCTGCAGCAGTGACTGTAGCCTAAGTGACAAGGTGACCTTCCTGTCATACTTGAGTCACTTAAGTAAAATGTCTCACCTTCCTTGCAGTAATATTTTCAAGGATCTTTTCTAATTATCTTACAGTCTGAATGGTAATTTTTTTTTTTTTAGTTCTATTATTGCTTTTGTACTTGCCTAAAATCCCTAAAATGCCTAATGTTTTTGCCACATTTGAATGTCCAGTTGTACTTATTTTAGTTAGTTTCTCACACAAATTTTCATCTACATCTTCATATCATGTTGTTTTTTTAATTCTTCTTTCTGTTCCTAACACTGAAGAATATTGGCTTTTAATATCGAGACAATTAAAATACATGCATGTAAAATTATGATGAGAGGGAAAGCTGGTTTATGTTTATGTATTTACTATTCACTTACTACCCATGCAATATTTATCACTGTATTTAAACAAGTGAAATTTATGTGGGTTTTTTTTTTTTTGTCTTTTTTTTTTTTTGCTTGTTTGGTTTATAAAGTGCTTGTGCTTTTTATTTCACGTTTTTCTGTTGTGATCTCCTCAGTCCCTATCATATTCCTCAGCTTCTATTCACTTCATCCTGTCTCACTGTATGCTCCCTAAACATTTTTGTTATTTTCTGGATTTGATAGGCCAACATTTAAAACTCATCTCTTCTTAATAAAGTGTATTGTTGAGAGCAGCTTCCCGCTCAGTCATACTATCTACTACTCATCCTATTACATAATTTCCAAGAGTCATTATAATGAAAGCATATGTTCTGAACTGAATTTCGTGTTTCATGACTTCTTTCAAAGATTCATGAAAAGCTGAGTTGGGTGGTCCTTACTGCTTTGTGGTAGAGGAAAGAGTAAAACATCGTGTGTGATTTCGACACCATTAAGTTATTTATTGATAATCCAGAAGTGATGTGGCTGAATAAGCATTATATTCACTGTAAGAGGTCTTTGGAATTAACTCTTTTGTTGCCTATCACCATGAAGTTCCCCATCCTATCATTCCTTTACAATGGAGATGCCTACAGAAGTCTATGGAGGTGTTGTTTGAAGAGTGGAAGCAGGATTGGTCCTTTAGGCAATACTTTTATTTGTTTGTGATATATGTTAAAAATAAAACAGAAATCATTGAGCATTATAGCATCTTTGACTTAGACTGTCTTTATTTTCCAGCCTAATTATATAATTTCACTTTCCTACTCAGATTGCTTCAAATCTTCTCCAGCTGGGCATGTTCTCCATGCCTAGCATCATGCAATATTGTCTCCAAATCAGTTGGTACTATCACTGAAATAGGAGCTTCTAGACTCACATTTAAAACTATAGCAGTCTTCTCATTAATTATAATACAAATTTGGATGAGATAGCTGTTGCCCATTACCACCAATGTATTTGAAGCAGAACCACAGAATCACAGAATCACAGAATTGTAGCGGTTGGAAGGGACCTCCAGAGATCATCGAGTCCAACCCCCCTGCCAAAGCAGGTTCCCTAAACCAGGTCGCACAGGTAGGCATCCAGGCAGGTCTTGAACATCTCCAGAGAAGGAGACTCCACCACCTCCCTGGGCAGCCTGTTCCAGTGCTCTGTCACCTCACTGTAAAGAAGTTCTTGCGCACATTTGCGCAGAACTTCCTATGCTGCAGTTTCCAGCCGTTTCCCCTTGTCCTGTCTCCATTCACCAGTGAAAAGAGTCTGGCCTCGCCATTCTGCCCCCCACACCTTAGATATTCATAGACCTGGATCAGGTCCCCTCTCAGTCTTCTCAATGCTGAACAGACCCAGTTCACTCAGCCTTTCCTCATAGGAGAGATGCTCCAGGCCCTTCACCATCTTTGAGGCCCTCCGCTGGACTCTTTCCAAGAGATCCCTGTCTTTTTTGTACTGGGGAGACCAGAACTGCACACAGTACTCCAGATGAGGTCTTACCAGGGCAGAGTAGAGGGGGAGGATCACCTCCCTCGACCTGCTGGCCACGCTCTTTTTAATGCATCCCAGGATGCCATTGGCCCTCTTGGCCACAAGGGCACACTGCTGGCTCATGGCCAACCTTCTGTCCACCAGGACACCCAGGTCCCTCACCGCAGAGCTCCTCTCCAGCAGGTCATCCCCCAACCTGTACCAGTGCATGCAATTATTCCTCCCCAGATGCAAGACTCTACACTTGCTTTTGTTAAACCTCATCCGGTTTTTTTCTGCCCAGCTCTCCAGCTTGTCCAGGTCTTGCTGAATGACAGCACAGCCTTCAGGCATGTCAGCCAATCCTCCCAACTTCGTATCATCAGCAAACTTGCTGAGGGTGGCCACTACCCCCTCATTAAGGTCACTGATGAAGATCATGAACAGGACCAGACCCAGCACCGACCCCTGAGGAACACCGCTAGTTACAGGCCTCCAACCGGACTCTGCACCGCCAACGACCACCCTCTGCGCTCTGCCAGTCAGCCAGTTTTCAACCCACCTCACTGTCCACTCATCTACCTCAGACTTCCTCAGCTTTGTTATAAGGATGTCGTGGGGGACAGTATCAAATGCCTTGCTGAAATCAAGGTAGAATATATCCACTGCTCTCCTGCCATCCACCCAGAGACAACATCATAGAAGGCTACCAGATTGGTCAAGCACGACCTCCCTCTGGTGAACCCATGCTGACTACTCTTGATAACCTGATTTTCTTCCAGTTGTCTGGAGATGACATCCAGCACAAGCTGTTCCATCACCTTTCCAGGGACAGAGGTGAGACTGACTGGCCTATAATTGCCTGGATCTTCCTTCTTGCCCTTTTTGAAGACTGGAGTGACATTGGCTATCCTCCAGTCTTCAGGCACCTCCGCCATCCTCCAAGACCTCTCAAAGATGACAGAAAGCGGTTCAGCAATCACCTCTGCCAGCTCCCTCAGCTCCTGTGGATGCATCCCATCGGGTTCCATGGATTTGTGAACATTGGTGTTGCCTAGGCACTCTCGGACCACCTCTTCCCTGACAGAAGGGAGGTCTTCCATTCCCCAGATCCTCTCACTAACCTCCAGGGTCTCGGATTCCCGAGGGGGAGCTTTTTCACTGAAGACAGAAGCAAAGAAGGCATTCAGTATCTCTGCCTTCTCAGCATCCTACCATTACCAGAACACCCCCGTCACTTAGCAGGGGAGCCACATTCTCCCTGTTCTTCCTTTTACTGTTAACTTACTTAAAAAAGCCTTTTTTATTATCCTTTATCCCCTTTGCCAGATTTAATTCCAGGTGGGCTTTAGCCTTCTTCGCATCCCTGCAGGCCCTGACAACATTCCTGTATTCTTCCCAAGTAGTCAGACCCTTTTTCCACATTTCATGGGCCTTCTTCTTTCCTTTGAGTTTGCGCACAAGCTCCTTGCTCATCCAACACCAGTAGAACACAGTTGTGTTTAAAGCTCAGTCATAAAGACTGATGTTCAGTGATTCAGTAGTAAGGCTGGTGTTCATGCACAGCATTTTTCCTATAAATGGCTAAATTCTTTTCCACCTTGCACAGAGGAATGGTATACAATTTAAGTGAGAGCTAAACTTAACTGAAATTCTCCTCAAGTGTCTGAATTGTTTGCACCAAAGAGACACGAAGATAATTTTCACTGACTTATTCCCAAGTAACTCTGCTGAAGTTAATATTGTTGCATAGGTCTGACCAGTATCTAGCTTCTGTTCTCTATTCACTTCATGACTGTCATTCCTTCGGGGATTATGTTAGTTAAATGGAGTCAGATGCTGATGACTTGCTCTAAGGAACATAATCTTTGAGTGATCCCACTGACAAAAGCACCTTGTTTTCACCGAACAACCACCAGCCTACCCACAAGAGTGATAGGAATAAGATCTATTACATTGTCTTAATCTATTATTTCCCCTCAGGAATCAAACACCTTGTTAGATATAAACAGTGCCCATTGGCATCATCCAAATGCTACTTAATCCTGAGGGAATATAAAGCAGTTTATTTCTGTGGTAGAACAAATACCGTATATGTTACTTGATGCTCTTGGCTCGCCTGCGCCACACTGAGTGAAGAGGAATTGTCTTGGGCCACATATAAAATATATAATATAGTTAGAGTATGTATGCAACAAAGCTTCTTCTTTTATAACTTTTATTAAAGCATAAAGAGAGCAACAAAACCATAAAACCAGTGGAATGTTTGACATTTTTTTCATGAAACCAATGTATCAATATCTGGTTTGTTTGAAGTGATTGTAATTCCTAGTGAGTTCTCAAGGTGTTTGTCAGATATTTTTGGTGAAATTCTACTCTTCCTGTGCTTTATCCTTGAAAACAGTTGTTCACAAATTTACATGCTGCCCAAAAGCAATGACATGACTGTGAGATGAGGGATATCTTTGTCTGGTAAGAGAGAGCTTATAGAATAGTAGTAGAGAGACATAAGATTTTTTCTTTGAGGTGCGTGTCTGATTGCAACTCCATACATTCTCTTTGAAAATTTGCAGGTTATCTGTTTATGTCAACAGAAAATAGACTCACAGATATACCAAAAAAAATGAATGATTTTTGAAACCTATTATCAAATTCCTTTATCAAAACAGAAAGCACAGCCGCATATTTTTCAGTGTTCACAGGACTGTCTTTAGCCAGTGTATAAAAATACATATAATTATTTGCCATAACTTGAGTTAGCACCGCAACACACCCACCCCACACCCTGGTTTCAGTCCAGTCAGCATTAATAGCGCACAGATATTTGATTGTTGCTGAGCAATGGGTGCGCACCCAGGGACAGGCCAGGTCATTCAGTGGGAAGAGCCACTGTCATGATGGCACAGGGCAGGGGGTGGCCCATGGACAGGCCACATGCTGCCTGCAGACTGGCTGTGACTGTCCTAAGCTTTACACTGGCAAGGAAAACTTCACCATCTGTCAGAGGCTTACAGGAGCTTTAGCAGCAGCAAACAGATAAAGAGAATGTATTCTTTAAAAGTACGTCCTTTAATTCTCTCTGTCAGTCCAGAGATCCTTAGCTACTGATCTGGCACTGCCCACCTTCAGGCCCTCTAGCTCAGGAGGGGACACAGATGCCTTGAAACACTATGCAAATACCCCTCATATATGTTATTTTTATATACTGAGGGCTCCATGCTTATGCAATTGGCTTCGGCTACCACATTTTCATTCAGCTGTTGATCAGTTTGAATCCAGATGAGAAAACAACTCATTTGAATTCTCCACAGCTTGTTTGCTTCTGCATCTAATTCATTACCTGATCACTTCTAATTAGAACTGCTGCAATGGAAGAGTTGTTTTGTTCTGTGCAGTTAACAATTATTTCTTTCCAGTCAGGAAACAAGACTATTCCTAGAACAGCAATAGGAAAAAGAACGTTGAAAAAAATAGCTTCATTCAGAGAGCAGAGGGGAAAGTTTAACATAAATAAAGACAACATTCAGGTTTTCTGCCACAGGAAGTTTCATAATTGTCAAAAGATTTTACTTTTTGATTTTCTGGTATTTTATCATTTTCCTTTCCCAGAATTTCTAAAATACATAGTTTTCTGTAGTAATAGTAATATGTTTCTTTCTTCTTTTTACAATGACCATTTCTATAATAACAACCAAATCTGCCTACAGATTCACGGGCTTTGAAACACCAAATTTTCTCAGTGAGAAACTGTTGTATTTTATTATAGTTAAATTACAAGGAAAAAAAAGGTTAAAAAAAAAAAAAAAAACCAACAACATAGTATTATTGTACTTAAGAAAAGGGATATATGTCAAAAGAGTGCATAGTGTTTAGGGGCTTTACCTTAACTTCCTCAAATCTATATTTTGCAGAAACTGTTGCTGTTGTCATGGGTGGAGACAAATTGTACAGAGGAAGGAATGCTGTTAGTTGAGAAATTATGGTTTGAATGCATAAACAGAAATGTGCACATAAGCAGAAGACAAGATGAAGCACTGCTTTTGGTTAAAAAAAATGTCTGAGTTCTGCCAAGTAATAATAATTACATTCAAAGCATCTCTGTAGGCTACCAGCTTTGAAGTGTGCAGAAAGAGAAAAGTAATGACTGATAAGTGTTTGCGAGTGTTTAATTTGTAATGGCCAGAATAGATAACTCAGCCCAGTTTGATACTAATTAAGGACTTATTATGCCTCTTTCAGCTAGTTATCCAGTTATACACTAAAATTACACAATTTGACATAGCTTTTTACTGCTTGTTTCCTTGAACATAGCAGGTGAACGTCACTGTACCTCAGTAATTTAGGTATCATTATACAATTAGCTGAAGTGCTTGCTTGCATAATTGTAAACCAGCTGTGTCATTTTGAGTTGCATGTTGCACTTGTAACTGATTTGTAACATAGCCAAGATGAGAGACTGTCTCAGTTCTCTGCTCATCTCCTGTTAGCTTTGCAACAAAATTGACTCATAAGAAACAGTAGAATATCAATAGGTAGTTTCATTAATCAAATTTACTTAAAGTATCTGAAACATTATTCATTTAACAGATGGATTTAAATGAATCTATCATACCTTTCAGCTCGTACTTCATAGCTTTCTGTTAGACTGGCTCACCTTTGAATTGACTGACCTAAATTAAACACAATGATTTGAAATCTAAACATTTTCAGCATTTTGTCTAAAACAGTTGTCTTCTGACTGTGTCTGAACAAGCGAATTCTCTTTTTCCTAGTGCTGCTATTACAAGATGACTTTGAATTTATTCCATTTACCCTTAAAAGTCCAAAAACTTACCTGTTGGACCTTGTTAAATCCCATTTTATTTTTCAGGATATCACAAGATTTAAAACTGAACTCCCTACTCATAAATCGGCAGAGCTCCATGGAAGTTAATTGAGCAGTATTGATTTATATCATCTGACGAACTGGCCGTCTACTGATTGAAATGCTGGTTCTCAAAGTTTGTGTCCTGCATGCTGTACCTAGTCTGTCTCATGTGGTGTTCAATTTCTACAATCACTTCTGGGGAGCCAGGGATTGCTTCTTGATTGTGACTCAGACTTAGCTGTTCTCTGATTGATCCCATTCATCTTACTTCCAGACATAGAACCACATTCTGAGATGTTTGTGATAAACCTTCCTTGCCAAGGGCAAGTGTACATGACTTGACAGTATACATGATACATGCAAGCTTTTCTCTTAAATCATGGATTGAATGTAAGCAGATCCAGCTATTCTGTTTAATCTGCTGGCGCCCTCACCTATAGAAGTCCCTGTTTTTGCTCCCAGACCATCTGTTAAACCAGAAGTTATCTCAAAAGCAACAAAAATGAGAGGTGAGGGTAAATGCTTTAATAATCATCATCACAGAGCTCCTATAAAGACCTGCCTGCAGTAGCAAGCAATCTGTGTTTTGGCAACAGTGTTTTGTACTGCTAGGGCTTCAGGGTGAGGTTGTATTTTGTTGAAAAACATTTTCCTCATCCTTCCAAATTTAGTGCCAAGTTTTGAGAGGGGAGTTGGAGGTGATTACATTATGTGAAAGTGATTATGTAATTAAAGAATTCAAACCTTTGTTAGCTCAAGATAAATTTTGCACAGTACCCAGGTAGAGTACACAGCATATCACTTCTGCTACTGCATTCCTTGAAAGAAACATGTTCTTTACAAATTATACCAGACTTTTGGTTCATGTTAGCTGATTGGTGGACCAATCAAACTTATTTGGAAATCAAGATGCAGAGCCTGCCCAACATAAGCATGTCTCATGAGAAGCATACTTCTACAGAACATGGCTACTTACATGAGGATATGGAGCTTCTATACTTTTATGTTCCAGTATTGAACTAAAAGCAGTAAAAACTATGAACAAGAACAAAACCTGTCTATTTTTAGCTTATTTGTGTTTCTATAATCCGACATAGGGGCATAAGGGGATGTTAGCCAGTTGAACATGAGTCAGCAGTGTGCCCAGGTGGACAAGAAGGCCAATGACATCCTGGCTTGTAGCAGAAATAGTGTAGTCAGCAGGATTAGAATATTTAGTTTATTCTCAGAAAGAGTGGTTAAGCATTGGAACAGGCTGCCTAGAGAAGTGATGGAGTCACCGTCCCTGGAGGTGCTCAAGAAACATGTAGATGTGGTACTTACAGGCATGGTTTAGTGGATGTGGTGGTGATGGGTTGACAGCTGGACTTGATATTCTTATAGGTCTTTCCCAATCTTTATGCTTCTATGATTCTAAGATATTTTACAATGAGCTATTGTTGCTCAATATGTCAGAAAACAAAGAGGTTTTATTGTTTGTTTCTTACTTTTAATTCTACTTATTTTCTCTTCAGAACTACCCTCCCCTCTCACTTGTCAATATTCTATTTGGAATCATTCCTTCATTTCCTTTATTTTTTTTAATGGGAGAGGACAAAAGCTGCCAGATGATAATTCATGAAGGATATTCTCCAAGCCATTTTAATTTTGTTTATAATGCTTCTTTTTTCATTCACAAGTTTGAAGAGTTCTTATTCTTGATGTTAGCTTGCCTGAAGGGGTTAAAAGACAAGCTTACTCCTCCACCACTTTCAACTTTGTGTAGAATTGTTTATACTTGTTTCTACTATAAGCCTGGGAAGAGCATTTCCTCTGTAGCTGGGAGATCTCGACAACTCTCTCCTGAATATTGTCTATTTTCCCTTTTAGAAATAAAATTAATTACTTCCTGCGTATTCATTCTTCTTGTCTTTGTTTTATCATATCAGTAACTTCCCATTTGGATTTCTTTTGGCGTCCAGTGGGTGGCTTTGGATTTTCTCCAATATTTAGTGAAGATCAGATATAACAGTCCAATCCGTGTTAGAAAAAGAAACTGGGTAAGAAGAAAAATATTGGATTTTCAGAAATAAATGCATCTGGAAAATTAAAGCTTAACTTTGTCACCAGCTTTCTTCTTTGGCTTAGTAGACAGAGGTAGTAGGTGCTTGCAATTCAGTCATTCTTCTCTGTTGTAATTCCTTCATTAAATAATAAAAAAGATTCTGTCCAATTACTCATTTGGCCAAAAACCTTGAAAATAATAAAACATTTCTATTATCATTCATCATTCTTAATTTCTTCATAAAAATAACCAGAAATATTCAACAATACCTTCTTTAATTTTGTCCTATTATGAAACAAGAGTGGTTTTAACTCTGCAAAGACTTAGCATATTACTTTTAGATATAACAAAATATATATATCAGATGTAGCGTAAGTCAAGGGCTCTTATTTATCCTTTCCCCTTTCTGAAATCTTTCCAAAGTCAATGGGGAAGAAAAAAAGTCAAGGTAAATAGATCTTATCTTTATCCATGTGTACTTTTGTCCTTACAGACAGTGTTTTAAAATTTAAAATGAAACTTTTTAATGTGGTCAGAATATTATGTAAGAAAACCATAAACACATCTGAACACCGTGTCTTCTGCTAAAAAGAGAAAGACAAGTAAAAGTGAAATTGGCATCATCAATACCAACAGAAATGCTACATTAACTTTAATTAAGACAGAACTTTCCAAGAATTAAAACACTGGATTATGCATGTTAATGTTCATCATGCCCAAAATAAATTCCAACACTACTGATTCCCAGAATTTCCAACTCGGTAATTCTGGTGTGTTGTGTTTTAACAGGCACTTTGTAGTATCCAGGTGCTACAAGAAGGGATCTATTCATCTATTAGGTCCCACTCAGCATTTTGAATCAGCTCTGAAGCAAAATTCCACATTAGGGGACGATTTTCTATCATGGGAAAATATGTCTCATGTCCCAAGTATCTGTCATTTTAAATGATCTAGATTATGTTACGCAGCTTATTCTTTCTACTCTCATATTTTTCTGCCAATGAGGCCAATGAGAACAGTGGGCTCATCCAGCTCCTTATAAGACCACAACCACCAAGCTACCTTTCTCAGAGTCTTTATGTCACTTTGGGAGAAGACCTTCACATTTACCAACTCTCATATCCCAACAAGCTGTCTGTCTGATCTGTACAGGCAAGAGAGATACAGTCAGTACTGGGGAAATAGAAAAAAGCAAAAGAGATACGGGGGAAGAGGAAAGATACAGAACAGAACTTAGAAGCCACATAGAACTTCACATAACACAGAATTCTAGAAAGAGCAGGAAATGTAAATTTGTTTTAAACAACAAAGTTATTGCAAGCATGATGAAAAGAATAAGCCTAACACTGTAATTCTCACTTCTGAATATGCTATGATAATTTATTACTTATCACTGGATTCCCAAATCCTGCATCAATGACGGGCTCACAGGTAAACCTAGAGCCTTTGAGAAATGTTTAAAGATGCCTGAATTAGACAAAATATGTTTAAAATCTCATGCGGGCAGAAACTTCTCTCCACTGAACATGGCTACACCTTTAGAAGCCTAGGCATAAATTATTCCAACAAACGTCAGCTCTTGGAAACCATGGGGGATTTTTTTCAGTATCTTTATGAAAAATTAAGTGCCACTTAGCGTAACTGTATGATCTTGGTTACTTAACTGACTTCAAGGGATTCACTTCTTGTCAGAGATACTCCCTGGAATTGAGGAAAAGGCAGTCAATGGACTAATGTATGGCACACAACCAGGTCTAGATTTGAAGGATGAACTATCTGCGCTCAATGACATTTGAACAGTTTTAACTGTGCAGTTCTGTAGATAAATCAGCTTTATTCTGCCTTGTGGGCTGGTAGCCAGCAAGTGAGAAAGAAACTTAATTACCTGAGCAGGCTGACTGGAGGAACATAAAACAATGGTATATGTAGGAGTTATAAAATCAGGTGTTCTTTACACTGTGGAAGTTTGAAAAGAAATGCAAATAGGATAATCAATGCAGGGCTGAGCATCTTAGGTTCTGTGATTTAGGGAAGAAATAGTGCTCCAAGCACAAAAGACTCCTAGAGGACTTTGACTCACTTCCTAAAAGCTGACCGATTTCCTGACAGACAAAACCATGCAGAATGATATGTTTATTATTTTGGCTGCAACTGTTTTCTTTGCTATTTAAAGTAAAGTATAATTGTGGTTAAAGTGTATTGGAAAGTATAAGTGTATTCTTTCAGCTAACAGAAGCCTTGGAGAATGAGTTGCAAATCCAGCACACCTAAAAACTTTTGGAGGAACATGCCCAACAGTATTGCCGAGTCCAGGTGTCTTCAGTAACCCTGAGAATTATTTGAGTAGTGGAAAGTTGCAGTCAGAGGGCCTATGTCCTTAGAGTTACTGACTGCTAGAGAGCCTCAGTAACAAATGGATGCAATACTTATAAGCATCTAAACAATTCTGTGGCATGGCTAAATATGCCTTTGTTGTTTTTCTTAACCATCTCTATCTGTAATTAGCTGTTCCTGTAGAGGCAACTGCCTTTACAAAATACATATTGTATGATTTCAAGTTGGATGTTAAAATAGTAAAAAAATATATATCCAAAAGAAGCATTCATTCTCAGCCTCTAAAGCTTTTATGTGCTTTGATTTTGTAAGCATATAGGGAATCCCTCCAGGCAGTATTTCCTCAGATATTTTAAAGAAATGTACTGAGTTAATAGGTCACAGAGGACCTTCACCGGTTGTGCAGTTCAGATGTAGTTATTCATATTTATTTCTTAAAACTTCATAACTGTCCAAACTGGAAATTTATTTCATGCTGAAATTTTGCCAAATTATGTTTTTTATTCAGATACATAGTTCTTGCCAATGTTACCAGCCAGCACACTGGTCACTGCAACTCAACAAGGACTGTTTGCAGCAGGGGTTTTATTTTTCCTATTAATGTGTGCAGTGTAGCTACTCTATCCATCCAGTATAACACATAATATTTTTGTCTTTAATTATTAGAATGAATACTTCTTACATTTCTTACATGTTTTTTCTTCATGGCATGCCATGGACACATCACATAGTACAGCACATAATTGACATATACCTATGTTCTCATATAAAATGACTATGAATAAAAAGCCTGTATTTAGAGGAAAGGATTTTCGATGTAAATAAAAGTTACCAGAAATCTATTGGGTTTTTTACCTTTAAAAGAATTCATATTTTTTTTTACTTATTTTACTTTACTTCATATTCATCACTGTGATCAACTTTTATTATAAGTGGGTGAGAAATCAATTTGAAAAATACAGAAATTGTGCACTTTGTACTCTTTCTCTGCAACTACACACACACACACAAAAAATTATCAGGCAATTATTTTTTTCATTAAGAAAGCCTTAAATACACTTACCCTCTTTCCAGATATTATATTTCTTAGCAACATAAATTAATTTGTTATTGGTTGCACAAGTACAATCTTCCCTGCTTATATATTTATCACTTTTCAAAAAATACTTTTCATAATAAAAGAAAAACACATTTGACCCTTTCAGGAAAACAAGGACTATGTACTCAATGTTGCATGATAGTATACAACACACAAAGCAAATGCAAAAGTGGCTTATAAATGAGAAAGGAATTTTATGCCTTTCACAGCCTTGTTGCTAAGGTGGTGAATATTCCTTGTAATGTGCACATCCAGACATACACACTCACACACAGATACACATATGTCCTCTGGCAGAATTTCTGGGTCACCTCACTATTCTTACTGATACTAAAGGTAAATTCTAAGAATTGGTTTGAAGCAAGTTGTGCCCATCCCAGAGAGAGATAGTTAAGCATGAAGGAATTATGTGCTATGGGACTTGCCACTTGTGTCAGCACTGGCAACCAGGAACCAAATCAGGCTCCTGAATCCTCAAAGCCACTACTACTAATGCATCTGTCTATCTGGCTATCATCATGGTCACTACTCTCTGGAAAACTTACGGAAAGGATGGGTCATCAAGAAGATCAGACCCACTCAAAACTGTCCTATGGGGACAACACCCAATTTTAGTGAGAAGAACCAGTTTTGCACTTTGCTTCTGTGAGGAGATAATGGAAAAATACCAGAACGTTAATTGCAGAATACAGAGGCATTATTATCACTGATAAAATAACATTATTAGAAAGAAATAAATGAAATAATAAATGAGGAAGAGAAATGTTCTCTTAGGGGTCATCTTTCTCCCTAAGCCAAAATGACAGAAGATGGAAGATTTTCCAGATATTAAAAAAAAAAAAAAAGTAAATCAATTAAAAGAGAAAGAAGGAGAAAATGGACCAAGCAGACAAGTAAACAAATAAGCAAGAAATACACAGACATGAAAAAAAAACACACACCTATACACTTGGTAGTCATTAATCTTGATTATCTGCTAAGCTGCATGCATTTTATTGTCATTCTGCCAGCATATCTAGACTCAGATGGTCAGGTGCTTTCCTACCTACAGAGAATATCTAGTGAGTGTAAAATGAACACTGACTACCAAAACATTTTACTTTTCTTCCTACTTTCTCTATTAGTGCTATACCACAGATATTGATTTGATTAATGAAGTAAAAAAATACTATCATTATAAAATAAAGTGAATAAAGATGCCAGTACTCCTATTTTGTCAAGTATCTTTCTGCATAACTCAACAACTAACATCCTGATTTTTTGGCAGGTAAGCCGGAAACAATCTATTTTACTGTATAGTTCCTTGTTTATTAAAATATTATGCTGTGCCTTGTTTGTTCTGTGTTAACATTCAATTCAGCCACTTTATTTTTGTAAATTGTATACAGAGGAAAGACAGTGTTCAGATCTGTTCTGCATTTGAAAACTAATTTACACGACAGCTTCAGATAACCTTCCATTCATCCTAAATATAATGCATTGGTCTGAGTGCATACTTCTGTTGCAACATACTTCAGAGCTTTTTTTTAGCTGTATCTCTTTCAAAATGCATACCTTAAACTCATAGTAATTCCTAATTATATTAAATGTAACAAGACATAATTACTTTCTTTACATCTGTTCACACATACATGCTTCATCAGTAGAGATTCCACTTCTTGGCCCTTAAATGTCAAACTTACGTCACTTAATCTTTGTTGCTTCTTTTTTTTTAATACATCACTGTGCCTTCAGTTTTTCATAGCTATGTCCTTT